CGACAATTTTTTCCCGTTGAGAAAGCTGCCATTGCAGTTCGACATGACGACTTCCAGGTCCCTCTTCATATCACCATCATCCATCATCCACTTCACTTCAGTCATTCCATTCCCCCTCAGAACCTTGAGCAAGCTTACGAGCGTCACAAGGTACTTTTGGGACGTGTGGGAGCCAAGCCAGACGGTTTGCACTTCCTTTTCCTAGCTTTTCTTTTACTCTTCTTCTTTGTCTCTCTTTGTGTGAGTTTCCATGTTTCAGTTTGACTTCACAGGTTTTCCCATGTGGTTTCAAACTTTACACCTTCCTAACTTTCTAGTGTGTGTTCCACTCTTTCTTTCAGTTGCATTGTTTTTTTCTTTCAACTCGTTTTGCTCTAGCAGTTACCAGTCTTGGGTATTTCTCTTGGCCACATTACCTTGTTTTTCCAAAGGTTATTGGCTTGTCTTCACACCAGGGGTGCTCGATCCTCCTATGGTTGCCTATTAGAAGCTTCATCACCATAAGAGAGTTTAGTGCATGAGAGTGAGAGTGGGATATTCAAGTGGGATATTCTTTCAATGTCCCAAAACCCTTGTATGAATGCCCACAGAGCGTGAGAGACAAAGACAAAGGGCAAGCATTTGAGATATAGAGAACGGAGTTGGGATAGATGATCAAGACATGCCACATCCTCATTTCATGGTGAATTCTTTTTTTTTTATTTACTTTGTTTTTTTCTTCTTTGTTTCTTTTACATTTCACTCACCTAGAGCATCCATGGGCTTCCAGCTGGGTGAGTGGATTTGTTTAGTGCTCCAAGTGTTTGTCGTGTAGGTTTGCAGTGTCAAAGCATGTGGCATCCAAGCGGTGTGGGCTGTGATGAATTGTTTGTTTGCAATAACAAATGTATATAATAAGAAGCTATTACTAATAAAAGCCACCATTCGAGGAACACTCTTGCAAACCACACTAAAAGCCATTTTAATATTGACTTGGCTACCTGTACTTTTCACTATTATAAGTCACTCAAAAGAAATATTGTAAAAGTCACTTTAAAAATTACTCGAATAAGCCATTTTAAAAAATTACTTTTGCATTATGGATTTTATAGTGGAAAGACTCCACACAATCAAATCACTTTTTGAGTGGCTTTTATGATGAAAGCCACAATGTTTGACTTGTTGTGGAGGCCCTTCTATCTCATGTTCTCCAGCACTTAAAAGCGATGCCACAGTGCATGAGTGGGCAACTTCTCTATTTCCTTTTAGATAGGCTAGATCTTGAGACAGTGATCAAGAAGTTCTATAAGAAGTTTGGCAGTGAGAAGACCAACTAGGAACTTAACTTAGAGCATTTTGCCTTTTGACAACACAATGAGAGCATGGCAGATTAAACTATACAAAGCGGCTTGAAGACACTATAGTGACTAAACTTGATGCAGTACCTAAAGACTGGCCAGTTGCTAATGAGGTTGCGCTCACCTCGAATGAGATTGAAAACCTTGAGAAATCTGGTTTCAATCTTGAAAGGAGAGTTGGAGACATGAGTGATAAAACCAAGACTGTTCCTATAGAGATGTATAGAAGGCTAGCAAGAAAAGGTAAGGTAGTTAAATTTATTGGTACCGTCTCCAAGTAGAAACAAGGTAAAATAAACTTGGCTCAAACACTTGAGTGTGAGATTCTCTCCACGAAGTATATCATTGCGCTTGCAAAGAAGTATATAGTCAAAACAAAAAGTGGAGTACACAATTGCCATTCAAGACTTTCCTTCTTGCACATGTACAGACTTTATGAAGCGCAAAGAACATGGGAAGGCATATGCTCCTTGCAAGCATATATACTACATCTTCATCAACATCTTGCACCAAAATCATAAAGTGGATATTTATATACACTAAGCAAGCCTTACTATTGCCGAGTTGCAGAAAACTTTTGGAGCTAATTAGATTTTCCAGCACTATCGATGTTTATTCTTTATCAATAATATAAACTAATTATACCCTATATAATTAATAAAAATATTTTATTATTTCATTTTTCATTTCATATACTTGTGAATGTTCTTTTTGCAATACTGCCTATAGTATTTGTGAGTCTCCATTTTTGTCTTTACCATCTCAAAATAGTAGTCTTTTGAGTGTGTGATGTTGCAATGTGTTGTAAGAGCATATATACCATCATAGTTGTTTTTTTTTCCTTTCAAATGGTTATATGGCCTTATATAAAATCTTAATTCAAATTTAATAATTCTAAAATTCTGACAAACCTGACATTTACTAGCTAGAAAACACAGAGTAAAAATTTAAAGAAGTGACAAGAATACTCTTTTTTCAACACTTTATTTTATGTTCTAACAAATATCCCTATTATTGCATGTAGTAAATTTTTAAATTATTAGAATAAGAAGTGTCCTTTAGAACATTTTTATTTATATAATATATAGAGAGTTATTAAATTATTAGGTTCACCATAACCTTAAAATTTTAAAGTTTATAATGTTTGTACTAAATTACAATTGAAAATTGAGCTCAACTTGTGAGCTCAACTCTTTAGTTCGTGAGCTCAAGTATAATCCGCACTCCAACTTCTCAACATGCTTCTTAATTTTTCACTTACACTATTGGTGTATAAGCAAGAATGAACATAATCCGCTACATCACCTTCCATACCAGACCAAAAGTCCCTATTTCAATGAGATAAGAGTCTTTCATTTACCACTATATCCCACTACTAGAACATCATGTTGTTCCCATAGAAATAGCTATCACATATCCTTTAATGAAGATATATTATCTTTTGCTTATAGTAAATAAGCCCATCTTGAATTGAGAAGTGAAGTTTCTCATTGTCACGACTAACAACTTTTGCAACTTCACTACTAGGGTTCTACTTCAACAACTCTGCAAGGTGAAAAATTGCCTTCACTAATAGATCATTTTTATATAAGAACTTCAAACGTCACTAGAAGGTGTGTATTGCTTCAAATATCACAAAAGGACAAGAACCTAGTCATCTTGCTTTTGTCCAAGGTCTTACTAATGATCCAGCATAAAGTTGCCAAATGACATCATATAGTGTGCATCAATGTCTTTGATCATACTGAGGAGCTGGAGTGAGAGTACCTCTAGGAATTGGTCATCCCACCTAATGCCAAGGATGATCATGACCTTGAGATAGTGATCATGAAGTTTATAAGAAATTTGAAAACAAGAAGACCAACCAACAATTTGGAGTTTTTCTGCTTTTGGCAAAGACACAACAAAAGAGTGTTGTATATTATAGAAAAGGTTGTAGCATTTACTTGCTATAGCTTGGTGTATTTGTTGACACTTAGGGTCAGAGAGTGCTTGATCCTCCCTAGTTGCTTATTGAGGCCTTTGTCATGAATGTGACTATGAGTATTAAAACTTTCTTATTGACAAATTCTTTTAGATATTCTCCTCTTATTGCCATATCAATTAAAGGTTAGTACCATTGATTCCATTTGTTTGTCCCTCTAATACTAAATGTAGTACTAATTGTTTTGACCCTATACTCTATGGTGTTTTATGATAAGACAACCATAAAATAGAACCTAACCCTTGATGGATATTGGCATTTTTGATCTACTAGATTTGAAATATCAATAGAATGTTGCTAGTGCTTGCTTTAGCAATTTGGGTCCTTTAGTATTGTTAACTAGGATCTATTTGTATTGATTAGTGTGATGGTTAGCACAAAAAATAGGATCATTGAGAGAGAGAGCCAAGTTATATAACAAATCTATAGTAGCTACCTTATGATTAAAGATTTCACCATGCATATAGAGTGCCAAAGCTAGTTTCTTATACTACCCTAAACTTCAAGATCAATATAATAATCATAGACAAAGATATCTTATTAGAGGACTAAATTATCAATTAACAAATCTTAGATTGGATCACTATAGTGTTCCAATTAAATTATCATCTGATAAACTAATAGAGTATAAAAACCATAAAAGATTAAGAGACATAAAATTAAACCATCTCAAGAGAATTCAATAGTAAGCATACCACCAAATAAACTCAATGATAAGCTTAAGTACCAATATC